CAGCAAGCTTGCTAGCAAACATTTTACCATGCAAATGAGGTTTGCTGCAAGTCAGCAGCAAGCACTGGATTTTCCAAATATGGAAACCTTGCTGCAAGCTTGCGGCAAACATTGCTGCAAGCTTGCGGCAAACATTGCTGCTAACTAGCGGCAAGAAATATAATTATTGTTTTTTAGCACATTCCTGCGTACAAGCAGCAAGTTCACAGAAAGCCTTTGTCCTGACCTTAATCTGTTAATTATAGGAAAAATCCACCACATGTGTCTGAAATGATGCAAGCTAGTTTCTGAAGTGTTGATAGTCTCTCTTTATGTTCCAAGACAATGTTCATATACTATTCTTAATCAAAATATATTTTTTTTTTTACATGTACAGAAAATTAAAAACCTTTGCACATTACTTAACAATAAAATTGTATGGTTAAATCCAATTTATTTGAAAACATTTAAACATTTATAATAATTGATTTGGAACCTTTAATACATTTAAAGAAACATACAAATGTGATGTTAAAATAAAGATAAAAATTCATAAATAGATTAATATTTGACCTAGCAAGTACATGTTACTTAAACATGCTTTAAAGAGATAATTGTTTCATATTAAAATAAAGCAAAATCAGATCTTACCAATTAGATGTTGTGTATGCCAATGTACACCTACATCCAGAATTATGCTTTTGTAATCATTCAACATGTTCAAAATGGTGAATATTTCTAACAAAATACTGAAACATCTACACTTCAATTCAAGCATTTCAAAATGGCGAATTCTGTGTTGACCCCAGTACAATCTGCATTTCATTGGCTGATTTGACTTGTTTACTGTTCTTGCGAACTTCCTGCAAACATTCAATTTGTTAAATGTTTCCCGCGAACTTGCTGCGAACAACAGATCGGCGTGTATGTTTCTTGCAATGTTCCTGCAAACATGTTGAGTTCCTGCAAATTTGCTGCAAGCTTACAGCAATTGCTGCAATGTTTGCCGCAAATCGCAGCTAGCGGCAATCATCTGCGAACAAGAAAATTTTCTTCCTGCGAACAATTTCGTTTGCTGCAAACTTGCTGCAGGTCTGCAGCAAACATAACAGTTTGGTAAGGGCGAGCCAGACTGAGAGAATTTCTGTTTAAAATGTGGCAATCATTTGGGGGAAGAGTTATGTTTAACAGTTCAGTAGAACACAAAGTTCCAGGGAAGGACGATTTTACTTTATTATAAACGTATAAAGGCAATTCTTTATATTCGTTAAGTTCACAATATATTTTAAAGCCACGGTGAAAGAAAACAACTTTGCTGTAAGGGTCGATTAATTATTAGCTTGTTTGCTATAACCGTGTTTTATTGTATTATGCCTACTCTACCTGACCCCATCTCTGCAATTTCCGGGTGTCCGTGTTTTATGCCCTGTACACAGTTTGTGGCAACTCACAATCACACGGAAATCTTCTTTATCATTTATTATGACGATTAAAGGCAAATAACAAATCCACAAGGGTTAACAATCACAATACCACATTGGCTAAGATATTCAGAATGTTTTCTGATATATACGAGGGTTGTCCCAGAAATACGCGAACATTTTCAATATCTTTTGTGTCACTAATAATATAAAGTTAAAAATTGGCATACATCATAATCAACATTTTTTGAATAATGCATAAAAATTTCAATGAAATATCTCCATAAATAATATTTTTCTCTCAGGTAAACGAATCTTACAAATCAGTTGTCGGCGCAACACTGACGACGTCAAAACGTAGCTCGTGGCGTTTGTGAATTTGTTTTAGAAATGTGCTTCTGATAAAATTCGTTTAAGCATAAATTTGGCTCTGTATTTCATTTTCTTTTATTTACCAATTTATGCATCTCAAATACTATTGTTACCAAAAGATTGCGGAACGTTAATATCTCTTTTATCGTATGAATAGGAGTCATATCCGGCTCAACACAGCACTGCTTAACAATTTCGTGCTCCACATTATAGCCAAACGTCACCATTTTTGACAATATCTAATTAAAAGTGTTTTGACATATAACGTCATATATTTGCCATTAATGATGTCAAATTAATGAATTTTTATACACGAGTACACCAGTTTAAAGAGTATTTATGGAGGTAAATTTTGTGACATAATATTTCCGTATAGTCTGGTAATAAAGAAAACTTCATTGACAATGCTACTTTTAAAAGTAAAAAAATTGCCGTGCGCCAACCACCGATATTTAACACCCTTTAAATATTTTGTCAAAATACAAAAAATATAATTTTCCAACAACGTGCAAAAAATTATTACTTTTGGTCGAATAGTTTCTGATATATTCAAAAAGTTCGCGTTTTTCTGGGACAACCCCCGTACTTAATCTTTGTTTTCAATCTAATCTCAATCTTTTTCTCAATCTCAAAAACTGTCACTTATATACTATGAAGGAAACATCTAGAAATAGAAAGGTCTGTAAAATTCTAGGTCATCATATTCTCACATATTTTAGAGAATTCTTGATTATTCATTCAAGTAACATGTAGAACATTCTAGATTTCACATAATTAAATCAATTCATTAAATTTCTATAAAGGTTCTTGAAATTGCGACTGTTCGCAACACTCCCAAGGCCAAGGAAAGTCTGTCACGAATTTAATTGTTCTTTAATCAGTTTTGTGGCTTTTTCAGCAGCCTGTCTCTTTGCTCTAGGCAACGGAGGAATATCACTGACTGCTGGTTTTTCCTTATTTGCATCACTGTCACCACGATCTGAGTCATCGGTACATTCTATAGGATAGAGTAAATTTAAAGGTCGGTTTAATGTCCTTTTGTTGGGTAACATTACTTTTCCCGATCTGAACTGACCATCTTGACTTACTGTCAAATCGCAAATTTTTCCGATCTTCCAACTTCCTCTAGGTAGATCTTCTTTGATAAGAACAACATCACCAATTTTTACTGGTCTATTGTGTTGAATTCGTTTTCCTTGTAATTTATAAGATGTTCTTTCTCTTAGACTTAGAAGATATTCATCTCTCCATGACTTCCAGAATGTATCTAAAAGTCCTTGACCTTTCTTCCAAATTGCCAATAAAGTGTTCACAGAGCTTGCATGGGGTACATAGTCTAGATCCATGGGATCAAAATTTTCACTATCTTGAAGTCCTATTTTTGGGTTCAATGTGAGGAAATGTGCTGGAGTTAAGGTGATGTTTGAATTAATATCATCTCCAATGTAGACTAAGGGTCTAGTATTCACAACTGCTTCAGCTTCTGCAAGCATAGTTCTCATCTGCTCATTTGTTAAACAGAGTTTTCCCATAGTTTTTCTTAAGCATCGTTTGACAACACCAACCAGACGTTCATAAAATCCTCCCATCTATGGTGCCAGATCCACAATAAATTGCCACTGAATCTCTTCATTTGCAATATAACTTTGGACATCTTTATCAGAAGTGACTTTTTCCCAACCTTTTTCCAACACCAGGCTTGCAGGTTTGAATTGAGCACCGTTATCAGAGATGATTTGTTTTGGCTTGCCAAAACGTGCAATCAATCTCCTTAGTCCTAGTAAAACTGTTCTGTGGACATGTCCTGCATGAGTTCAAGATGTATAGCCCTTACTACCAAGCAGGTAAATAGACACACCCATACCTTTTTACTGCCAGTTTCTGTTTTAATGAAGATTGGTCCAAAGTAATCCACTCCGGTGTATGTAAATAGTGCTGATTCACTTACACGTTTCTTTGGTAGTGGAGGCATTAGCGGCATCTTGTAAGGACCACCCTCAAACCGCTTACTGACTGTGCATTTCTGTAGTATTCTTCTTACTTCTGATCTTCCCTGTGGAATCCAGTATTCTTGACGAACCAATGATAACGTTTGGGAAACTCCGACAAGAAATGATTTTTTATGGATGTAATCAATAATTAGCCCCGTCACATGGTTCTTTCTTGGAAGAAGTATGGGAGTTCTTGCTCCTTCTGACAGCTGAGCATCTTCGAGTCTTCCAATGCATCTGATAATTCTTTCCTGATCTAATATCAGTCCTAGTTGTCTAACTAAATTGTTTCTCCTCTGCTTGCAATATCAGCTGGATTATCTTTTGTAGATAAATATTGCAAATTGATATCTTTGTTGTTTCTGATTTCTTTTACTCTGTTTTCCACAAAAGTAGTTAGAGGTTTCTTCATTCTAATCCAATGCAATACACACTGGAAATCGGTCCAAAGGATCTTTTCTGTGATAGTTAACTTAAGTTGCTGTTCAACAAAGTGTACACATCTGACTCCAATGACAACAGCTAACAGTTCCAATCTAGGTAGAGTTATTTTCTTAAGTGGCACTAATCGAGTTTTTGAAAACAGCAGGTTGACTGAAGTTCTTTCATTGTTGCTCTGGTGTTAATAAACCGAACAGGCGTACGCTTTCGTTGATGCATCACAAAAGCACATTAAAATGTATGTCACTGTACCAGAAAGTCCAATAAAACGAGGAATATGGTAACTGGGAATATCATCCAGATCTGAGGATATATTTTCCCAGTGTTGAATGTCTTCTTTGGTAAGTTCTTCATCCCACTCTTTCTTTTGGTTCCAAAATGTTTGTAGAAACAACTTTGTTCTCAAAGTAACTGGGGGTGAAGAATCCAAGTGGATCAAAAACAGAAGCAATTCTTTGAAGGACTTTCCTCTTTGTGATAGGTGGACTTTGAGTTTCATCCTTTTGACTGTTTATAAATATGGAGTCCTCAGAAAGTTTCCAAGATAAATCTAAAGTTGCAGCCAACAAAAAAGGGCTTGATATAACTCCAAATGGAACTCTCGTAAATCTATACACTTGAATATTGTTCTCTGTTGTTGGAGTGTCAATATTCCTTAACCAAAAGAAACTTGTCACATCTCTGTCTTTTCCTTGTAATTCAATCTTCAGAAATGCCTTTTCTCAGCAATAATTGCAATCTTTTTCATTCTAAATCTCACCAACAGTCCACACAAATCATTTAGCATCACTGGTCCTCAGTAAAGACATTTATTAAGGCTGTTATACTCTGGTTTTAACTTTGCTGATGCATCATAAACGATCCGCATTTTTGTGGTAGGTTTTGTTGGATCAATAACAGCATGAAGGGGTATGTAGTGTTTGACACTATTCTTTACTTCACTGTTCTTTGTCACTTTCTCAATGATGCCTTGCTTGCACTGCTCCTGAATTATTTCATCATATTTGTGAAGTAGCTTAGGGTTCTTTTTAAGTTTTTGAATTAAAGATCTCAACCTTCCAAAAGCAAGTTCTGTGTTCTCTGGGAGTTCAGGTTGCTCATCTTTCCATGGCCAAGTGACTTGGTATCTGTCATTGACTAGTTTTATTGTATCAGTAAAGTTTTTCAAAGCCTTGTCATCATCTGATGAGTGAGGCTGGTCTTTGATTCCAATCGTTTCCAAGTTCCAATATTCATCCAATGATGGCTTCAAGGGCAAACACTGATCGACGGAGGAATGAAGACAATATTCTGTTGTTGAGTTATTTCCATTTACAATCAGCATTTCATGTAAATGATCTCTGGACGCCTCAAATTTTTCTTGTGTTCTTCCAGTGAGAATCCATCCTAGCTTTGATGATAGTAAGTAAAGTCCAGGGTTAATTTCAATTTTCTCTGATGATACTAAATCAAGATAATAGTTATTTCCAATAAGGATGTCTATGGTTGAATTCTCTGTAGTTTTTGGTAGAGTATCAGCAAATTGTAAATGTTTCCATTGGTGCTGCATCTTTTTAGTGATCTTAGGTGGCAACGGTCTTCTATGTATTGATCCACTTATTTGAGGCACAACATTTGCGTCAATTCTCATGCAGTGCCCATCCTTTAGTTTAATTCTTAAAGATACATTTGGAATTTTTACTATCTTTGGTTTCGTTGATCCAAAGGTGATGAGTGATATTTCTTCTGTTCTTTTAATCTGCAAATTCAACCTTGAAGCTAATTCCTCAGTAACATATGTTCTCTGAGACCCAGAGTCCATCAAAATTCTTACAGATTCAACTCTCCTTCCTTTCAGATCTGATGCATCAATTCTTGCAGTCTGCATTAGCAGCATACTACCTGAGGAGAGTAGACTGTTTTCTGTAACACTGTTAACTGGTTCAGAATCATAAATCTCTGCTTCAACAAAGTGTGAGGTTTTTCTCAAAAGCTGTATCTTCTTATTGCAGAGACTTCGATGATGTTTCTTTGTCTGATGGCAATGGACACATGGTTTGTCTACTTTGCAGTCTTTGCTCAGATGGCCTGGCTTAAGACAAATGTAACATCTTCCTTTGATCTTCTGTTTTCTCTCATCAATTGTCCTGAATTCTTTGCATTCATCACTCCAATGATTTCGTTCACAGAAGATACAAATGGGATGTTTTCGTTCATATTTGTTTCTTCTTTGTGATTTTTGAATGATGTTGTTAATGCTTCTGCAGATTTTTTTTTTCATTCATTTACATATGACATTCCAGGTAATGAAGTTTTTCTTGAATGTTGTTTCTCATGAGAGTCTAGGTTGTCCATATCTGTAGACTCTCTAGCTACTATGTAATTATCAAGAAATATTCTCAGCTTTTGCACAGTCCACTTTTCTTTCTTTCCTTTCTGTATTTCTAATTGTAATCTGGCTTCTTTTGGTAACTTTGTTATTATCATGGAAACAAAGACATCTTGATGTACATCCTGTTCCAAGGCTTCTAGACTACGCATATGTTTTTCTAGTTCATCCAATAATCTACGGAGACTGGAAGTGTTATTGAATGCAGGCTTAATGTTGATGAGGTCCATGTAATGTTTGTTTATTACAGACTGCACATCTCCAAATTGTTTCTTCAATATTGAGATAGCTACATCATAATTTTCATGGGAAAGCATAAGGCCGGAAATAGCAGATTCTGCTGTTCCTTCCATTTTACTTTTCAAGTAGTTGAACTTCTCAATATTGAAAAGCCTCGAGTTTTTGTGCACTGAAGCTTAAAGGGGGTCCCAGAATTCTTTCCATTTTAATTCATCTCCATTAAATGAAGGTAATTCAAACTTTGGAAGTTTAACTACTGTAGTTTATTTCTCTTTGCAAATCTTCTCTTTCCTGTGCAATTCCTGAATTTGGAGTTTTTGGAAATGCAAAAGTTGTTCCTGCATTCGTGTCTGCAGATCTATCATGTGGTCTATTCTTGTGTCATTTGATGCTTCTGTTTTCAAATATGGAATGTCCATTTGCTCCAGTCTTTTTTCTTCTAGTAGAAGTTCTTCAGAGTGCTCTGTAACTTCGGAGAGCAATTCAAAAAGCTTCTCACTATCTTCAGTAAATTTTTCAATTTCAGACTCGTTGTCGACTTTGCCCTCTAAGGCAATGGAATGTTCTTTCATCGATTCCTCGAGTTTTGCACCAAAGTCCTTTAAACGCCTCAAGGAAGATTGAATCTGCCTTTACTTGGTTGTCAAATCCTCTTCTTCAGCTTCTGATGAAAGAAATGCCTTACTTTTAACCATTTCTTTCATAAGTAAATTCTTGTACCTTGTACAAAGTCCTTTCAAATATGAGGTTGACATCTTCTTCTTTTCCGTGATAATTCCTTAATTTCAAGTTCCAATTCCCGGGTTCCGGCACCAAACAATGTGGCAACTCACAATCACACGGAAATCTTCTTTATCATTTATTATAGCGATTAAAGGCAAATAACAAATCCCCTAGGGTTACCAATCACAATACCACATTGGCTAAGATATTCAGAATGTTTTCTGATATATACTTAATCTTTGTTTTCAATCTAATCTCAATCTTTTTCTCAATCTCAAAAACTGTCACTTATATACTATGAAGGAAACATCTAGAAATAGGAAGTTCTGTTAAATTCTAGGTCATCATATTCTCACAAATTCTAGAGAATTCTTGATTATTCATTCAAGTAACATGTAGAACATTCTAGATTTCACATAATTAAATCAATTCATTAAATTTCTATAAAAGTTCTTGAACTTGCGACTGTTCGTAACACAGATTTGAATTGTTTGCAGTTTTTTTTTTTCCGAAATCGATCATTGTTCATTGGTTTCATCTTTTTCCTCATATTCCCAAACAAAAAACAACAGTTGCAATTGGAAAAGGTATAATTGTGATTTTGTTACTTTCTTCTGATAAAGGTTTTCTCGATAAATATTCTGAAACATTGATTAAAATTGCACTTATTTACATACTAAAATTACAGATGAGGTGAACTCCCAAAACTACGAAAGCCCAGAAGGCTCATTCGAGATTCGAGTTTCGAAATACGAGATTCGAAATTCGAGTTTCGAGATTCAAGATTCAAACTAACCAATCAAAAGGCGGATTCAATATTTGATTACTCCCCTTTATTAAGTTTTTACTATCAAGAAATCAAGGAATATATTGATAACAAATGGGTCATTTGCTTAAATAATAATGCAAGAAAAAATGTTATATGTATCAAAACAAAATAGAAATAAATTTTGGATAACGTTTTGAAAAATATATAAAAAATATTATTTTCCTCATTAAACAAAACAATAGATACATATATAGAATATTATATGGTCTTATCGTTGAATAGCAAATTTAGTATGTAGATAAATTATTTAATATGCACATTGATGAGGGAGAAAATTGTTATTGATATGAAATAAATCCTAAAGGATCATCGTCTTTACATTGCACAGAAATCTTATTAAGGATACATTTCATTACATTTAAAGGTGAATCTGTGCAGTTAGAGTAATCGACTATTTGATATGGAATAAAATAAATTCCAGTTTGTACTGTATATATAATTTTTAATTAATTCAAGTATTCAAAGCCTTAATTGAAAACTTAATTTTTATGTATTTCTCCTATTGGGAAACACTCACAGTGGTGTATATTCCCTTCGGCTAATGTGTACGGTAATGTGAGGTCACAGATTTCACCTAAAGGGCATCATTGCCGAATTACGGATAGGTAAGGAGGGAGTCGCCCCTCTCAATAGAAGGGGGGGGGGGCGGATGACAACTTTCTGCGCTCTTGGAGACATCTTTCATTGTCATTTTTCCAGTGAATATAATTATAAATCATTTAAACATATTTTTATGATACAGAAATTAAAATCTTCATGACCACTTATAATAAAATTGAGAAATTTTAAAATCCTTACACAGTGCTTGGAAATTATGGAAACTTCTTTACTGAATAATCTAAATATAATTTTTAAAATGTTTTATGTTTGACTCCCTACTAAAACAAACATATTTACTAATTTCTATTCCCTGTCCGAGCCGTAGACTCCTGTTGATGTCATGTTTAATAGTCTGATATCGACTTCAAGGTAACATTTCAATTTTAGATTTAACCAGCTATAAAAATCAAAAGTTTTGTATGCTGTAAAAATTGGATAGGCATAAAAGTGTGGATTGCTAAAAATACTTTTATTGCATTTGATGAAAAATATTCTAGTAACTGGTAAATAAATAAGATTTATGATCAACTTTCCCCTATTTTTCAACCAAATACATGTATAAATGAATTTTTTTGTCATCAAGAAAATGATGTGTAGGCTATAGCCTTTTTGCCCATATGGAATATACAGCACTGGGAAAGCGAACGCGATTTTTCTTTATCACGACTACGGTGTCTTTCTTGAAAGATTTCCTGTGTACACTAAAAAGACATACATGAACTAAGTAATTTTAATACGTACTCCTTTAGGCTATACGATTTTTTTCAAAGTCCTAAAGGTGTATAGAGGGTCCATTGTTTTGTTAAAATAATTAATTTTTTATCATTATTAAATACTTTATATTTTTTTCTCTATGGCCATTACATCGTGTATTGAAACTTGTGTATTGATTGGTTATGTATCTTGCGAGACCCGAGTGGTTTCCTTATAAATAATTATCGAATATATAATTATTTTGCCCATGCATCGCAAGATTGACACTGAATGTTGATAACCGAACATATGTTTACCGTTCTAATAAAATAAACAACATAGTCATAGGACTCTGGGCATGTCTCCCCCCCCCCCCCACACATACACACACACGCACATTCCCCTTATATTTTTTACCGATATAATTTACTATAGAATACATAGCAACTTTATGCTTGTGTCCTTTCAAAAATAACGTCTAATAACCGTGATAACCCCCTGTTGTTTTTTTAGGGGGGGGGGGCTTTACAGTGATTTTTTATTTTATTTCCTACGGACCTGAACAAAGAGAAATCATTATCTTTATTAAGCATGTATATTTCAGCCATCCGTACTTAAGGGGCTGTCTATTGGTTTCACAAACTTGGTCACTGATCACTTTCTAACACCTTGTTACAAACTATATCCACTTTAAAACTCGTATTGGTCACTGGTCACTTTCTAATACCTTGTTACAAACTATATCCACTTTGAGACACGTATTACTAATTATTATTAATCGCTAGTCACTTATTTTATTGCACACTTAACTTTGAAACCCGTATTAGTCATTGGTCACTTTCTAATACCTTGTAACAAACTATATCCTCTTTGAAACCCGTATTACTATTTATCATTAATCGCTAGTCACTTGTTTAATTGCACACTTATAATTCTCATCAACTACAATACGCCCCCCCCCCCCTTTGCTCTTTGAATCCGATTAACAATATTTATTATTATGACATCAAACCTGTAAACAAAGTAGATAATACGATATAGATATTCTTGATATAAATCTATTATAATATTTAAGAAGTTATAATATAAATTTAAGTATATTTTGCAGACCAAAAACCCAATATTTTTTTTCTAATTTTGTTCTGATTTATACATGTATAACACTCTTTCTTGCATTGTGATAGTATCAAATGACCTCTTCGGTTTGAATATATTCAACGATTTCTTGAAGGTCAAAACTTAGCAAAGAGGAGTAATTGAATCTCAAACCGCCTTTTGATTGGTTAGTTTGGATCTTGAATCTCGAAACTCGAATTTCGAATCTCGTATTTCGAAACTCGAATCTCGAATGAGCCTTCTGGGCTTTCGTACAAAACAGTTGTTTCTAACTAACCGTTACAAATTTTCTATCATTAAGGTCTTCATCTTCACAGAAGACAACCGTCTTCAAAAGATCATATGGTATATTAGTAGCTTACCTGAGCCGATGAAAATTTACTTCCGGTTATTTTAAGATATTGACACTTTCCTGATTATGAAATAAAATGCTATCCTCCCTTTTTCCTCTTGAACGGCTAAAGATACCACATCACAGGTTACAGATTAGAGATGATACAGCATGACTTGTAGATGAGCGGGATCTGTTTTTTTTTTTTTTTTTTTTTTTTTTTTTTTTTTTTTTTTTTTTTTTTTTAGCAAGGATAATAGAGAGACTTATCCAAAAGCTAATTATGTAATTTGTTTAAAATTTGATTATTTCGTATTCTAGAAATTCGTGACTTTTCACTCTAACACTTGTCTACGTTAATGTAGTGGTTTACCTCGTGGATTCTCATTCTAAAATGAGGATTGGTATTATTTGAATATTTTCACATTTTTGAAAAGTTATATTTTGTTTAAGAAGCTAAAGGGATTGTACAACCGTAACACATGTGTTATGAGTAAGGAATGGATTTTACGATGACGTCTGATGGCGCAGAATGGACTGAATACCTTCTTTTTGTTATCGCAACGAATTTTCAGTTGACCTTATTTACTGAAATTAACCAGAGTAAATATTTTGATTAACCATGAAACTATACTTTTGAACCTTTGATTAGATTTTGGAGCTGAATATCTCTGAAATTCGATAACAATAATTTAAAGAATAGAAATAATAATGAGAACTTAACAGTAATTGTTCCTTTTAGAATAAAAATGCTGCTTGCATAAATTAGAGAATGTGAGCTAGATCTAATTGAAATTTAAAATTAATGCACTGATTTAGTATAGTGAAAAATTGGAATAGCAACAGTAGAAAAAACATTGATACTATTGTTAACTATAGTAAACCATAGTTAACTAAAATATTTTTGTTAGGACATTTTATGTGTACAGAATCATAACATAGTTCCAATCTGATAATTTGTTGGTTGATTTCGCTTCATAAAAATTAGTTAAAGCATTTTTTTCCCCAAATCACATGTGGCAAATTAAAGATGAAAATGAAAGATTTCTAGTAAGTAAAAAGGAAGTACAAAGCTTTTATATAATAAAAATTAAAAGCAATATTTTGTATAACATACTTGTCAAATATTGAGTCAAATTAATGAAGCACAGACATACAGTCATTTTCAATCTTCATTTTTGGAGGGTAAGTTTTTATAACAACATCAACATATAATTTAGAAATCTACAAATATATGTTTCATACTTTGATTAAATCTATATAACAAAGATAAAATTTGAGAAAGGGTCCTATAATTGGAAAATAAACAGCTGGATTTAATAGGTTACAGCTGTATTACACTTATCAATGAACTTAAAAAAATATTCTTCTAGCGACCAATCAATACACAAAAGAATTAAAGATTATCTGGCTGTTTTATTTAAAACAAATGGTTGCAGACACCGTGACTCAAAATTTATTATTACTCTTGAAAAGGAAGTTTTAATTATTTGCATTATCGTCAATTGATACCAAGGTCATACGAACATTAACTATAGCCAAAAATGAAACAATTTCTTTGAATATTTAATTCAGTTATAGGAAGTAAATATGGGAGTATACTGAGAAGAAAGTAGAACATTTAATGTCCTAAATAGTCCTTCTTTTCATTTTTTTCCCGATAACATACGTTGTTTTCACTACAGCTACATACACAAAGATGACGTCTTCCTTACATGTGCATTTATCTGCGCAATTAAATCCAAACTTTTTTCCCTTTGGATTTTGTTTAATAAAAGCATAACCTTCAATACTATAATAGTTAACATGCAATAGTTAAGTATAGTTTTCTTATCTTCAATTAATGTAGTTTGATATGAATTTCAAATGTTTCTTAAAGTTTATTTAAGCGAATTCTAACATGTATTTTTATATGAAAAGGAAATATCTGTTTGTATATTAACATATTATTTATATAGAGAAAATTCAAGAACACCAAAAGATAGGAATTATTTATTTGTATGTGGTAAGTATTGTCGTGGCATTATTCGTGAGTCGCCAATTAAATCAACACAACATGTGCAGACCCACCTCAGCAGCAATAACAAATCAATCATCAATTAAATTCAGCTATGATAAAAAATTGACCATCTCGGACAATCCGCGGACAGTTACGTAATGAATTATGGATATTAAGCAATCTCTTCTACATACACAGCCTGCAATAATCATTTCAATATACTAAATGCTGTGGTATAAAAGTAATTAACCCAGTCAAAAAGCAATGCAATTCCCAGTAGCACAAAATTATATGTTAACAAATTAAAAGCTTCCTTTAATTAAAAAGTTTAGTATTTTTGCCGTTATGCCATACATATTTAAAATTGGTTGCTCGAAGAGGAAAATTCACTAATTTGGCCTCCAAGATGGCGGCCAAGGGAAATAACTCGAAGGGAAAATAGTCATACTTAAACTATCTATCCAAAAGAAATTCTAAAATACTAAACCATTTATCTCAAATGAACTTTTTTAATAAAACCTTCGAACATATTTATTGTGTGTACATGTACTCCTAACAGAATGGGATGGTTGGGTAAGCAATTAACTTTTTTCAGTCAGTCAATTGCATTTTTACCAATCTGTGCTCTTGATGAATCTGTGACTCTTTCCTGTTCAGCAAACCAGATATAAAAAGAGCCCATAACCGATGTTAATTTTGAAATCTGTATATCGTTTATCAAACCTGACTTTTTATCATTAAAAATGCATGTATTTTTTATTTTTAAAAGATGCCTTTATAAATATAGAGAAAATTCAACATTACCAAAAGTTAAGAATTATTCATTTGTATGTGGTGAGTAATGTCTTGGCATTATTCGTGAGTCGCCAATCAAATCAACACAACACAACAGGTCCCACCTCAGCAGCAACAACAAATCAATTATCAATGAAATTCAGCAATTATAAAAAAAAGATGACATTCCCTAGTAATCCGCGGACAGTTACTTAATTATTCTCTACTGCATACACAACCTGCAATTATTTCAATACAAAATGCTGTGTTTTTAAAAGTTATCAAACCCAGTCACAAAGCAATGCACTTCGCCTCAAAACAAAATTTTGACTCAGTGTCAACCATTAGTCAACTTATTTCACATTAATGATACTTCGTTTAAATATCAGTTGACTTTAGAGTACGCATACGCCAAATGGCTGCAAACGAGTCAAGGCTTTTTCCAAAATTGAAATAAACTGATATCGAGTAATAGGCTGTCCCCCAAAATGACAAAGCAATGGTCTTTGATTTTGGGTCTAACTTACAATTATTTAGACATACATCCCACAAGACATATATTGCTGTTGACTCTTTGAAACCTTAGTCTCACACCTTTTCCATATTGACCAGACTTTAATTGGTAAATATTTAAAAACATTGTGCTCTGTTCAGGTTCAATTTTGATACCTGTATCTGCAACCTGAACAATCATTTCCTGTTGACAAAGTGAATTCTCTAACCCGTAAAAAAACATAAAAGGCTAATGTAAAGCACAAATGAAAAGGTTTGATTCGTAGGTACATTTGTATTATAACATAATCTGGGCACAACTTACAAATTTTTAATAATAATGTGGGTGTAATTGAAATAATTAAAATTCATAATCAAAAGAGTAACGAAACTCCGGTACTGTACAACAATTTTGTATTTCTGGTCAAAGTTGCCTCCAGTAATTTTTCTACTTCGATCTGTAGGTCAGTCTCACAAATTCCCCTGGTTTGCTTTGTAGTGTCTCTTTTGCACTCTGCGTCAGGTCCCTGAAATGCCTCCTCTATTTAGGAGAAATTGCATCTTCTATACTATTGAAAACATTTGGTACATGTATATGCTTAGCTTTAAAAATAGCATTGTAATCCATTAATTTTAACACAAAATATTTTAGCAAATCCATTACCCTTTTTGATTTTGATTGATTGAATGTTGTTTAACGTCGCATTCGAGAATTTTTCATTAGTTTAGAGACGTCACCATATACCGGTGAAAGGCTTCAAATTTAGACCTATACTCGGCACTTAGGGCTATTGAGCAGTGAGAGTGCTTTATCGTGCTAACGCCTACAGTGACGTGAGACCTCGGTTTTTAAGGTCTCATTTGAAAGACCCGTGACTTTCACTTCTAGTGTCGGGCGCTCGGCAAAGGAACAGTCAATACCTATGTTTACGTCTTAGTTCAGACGCGGCGTGCCGAACAAGAATCGAATCCCGGGCCTCCCGATCACTAAGCAAACACCCTACTTCTAGGCTACCGTGACCGGTCCTTTGATTTGGACGTTTGCTTGTTAATAGCACTAACCAGTGCAGTGTTATCAATGTGAAACAAAACCTCCTTGTTTTGAAGGTGATTTCCCCATATTTCTATAGATAATACAACAGTAAAAAAAAGTAAAAGTAGGTACGAAATTAACTATTACTGTGCACCGGAAGTTACCCCCCTTTTCAATCCAGCAGATTTTGCAACCAGACGCTTTTTCGAAGACGAGCAAAATATCCAGTACCATCGGCATCCCAGAGCAAGAAATAATGCCGCCAGTGAAGAGTAAAGCGACGCAAACAACGTCAAGGAAGCGCAGAGAAAGTTTGGGAGCCCCAGCGAGAGGGAGAGGGCAACCGAAGCGGTGCAGACAAAGTACCACTTCACCACCACGCCGGGCCCCGGCCGAGTCGTTAGTCGGAAGCCTTCCAAAAGCTCCCCCTCCACCATCTGTGGAAGTTCACCCATCTTCGCTCACGTTATCACCACCAACACCAAACACAAGCACCCCTGGAAGCGGTGAGTTAAATTTTTCAAACCAACCTCGAAAAAATCAAAAAATTAAAGCCTATTATGAGAGGGCAAATTTATAGATATCTCATTGCTAACTAAAACCGCTTGTGAATTGCAAGATTATGAATCACAAGGGGACATTACATTTAAAGAAGGGCGTCTATGCATTGTTAAACCAAAAACGAATACCTTTCTCACTATCGATACATGTAGCTTTTATCATATTTACAAGCATAATGTTGGAGAAATTTCCAACACGGGCTCAAGAACTACTTAAGTATCTCAGAGATATAAGAATTGCTGCTACTAGGTCAAACAATTGGTTTAAATGCGATGAGCAATTTCGTTTAAAAATGTCCAACCAGCCCCTGTTGTCATGGGGACATATAAATCATATCTAACAAACACAACACGTACAATAGAACCTCAGCTTCTCAAAGTCAAAGCTCTTACACAAGCAATCCAAACCGTACTTTGGCATTTTATTGTAATCATTTTAACAAGGGAGTAAGTTGCCCTTTCTTCCCTAGGTGCAAGTACAGACATGCATGCAGCAAGTGCGGAGATAAACACCAAGTAACAGGTGTTCAAAATACTAGCTGTATATATTCTTTGGGCACAACACCAATCATGTTGTAAAACCTTCGTAAACACTTAGTTGGGTACTCGGATTGCGAATTTATATTGCAGGGTTTTAAGTGAGGTTTTAATCTCCAATATTTGGGCCCTAGGTCACCCCGTGAGTCTTTAAACCTCCCTAGCCTCAAGGCTAATATAGTAGTGGCTGAAATGAAAATTCAGAAAGAAGTAGCATTAAAACGAGTCGCAGGCCCTTTTGTTCACCCACCATTTCCAAACCTTCAGGTTTCCCCTTTAGGCTTTGTGCCTAAAAAAGATGGTGACATGCGACTTATACGTCTCTCTTACCCAGAAAACATGTCCATTAATGATTTTATTGACCCTGGAGCTTGTTCAGTACATTATAGCAACATAGATCAAGCGACAGAAATGATAGCTAAAGTGGGGAAAGGGGCATATTTAGCAAAGACTGACATTAAGTCAGCATTTAGGCTGCTCCCAGTATCTCCGGGCGATTTTGACCTGCTTGGGTTCAGATTTCAGGAAAATACTACTTTGATAAAATGTTACCTTTTGGGTCTTCAATTAGCTGCTCATTATTTGACAAGTTTGTATCATTCCTACATTGGCTTACCCAAAAATACTCCCAAAATGATTTAATAATTCACTACCTTGACGTTTTCTTTTCTGTGGCTCACCAAACACATTCACTTGCCACAATTCCCTCAATGTTTTTAAATCAATCTGTTCAGATATTGGTGTGCCAATTGCTCATGACAAAAAAGTGGAACCTACACAGGTCCTAACGTTCTTAGGAATAGAGTTGGACACTGTCAATATGACAATGAAACTTTCCTTGGAAAAATTAAATCAGCTTCATGGTATAATACAATATTTCTTGAAAGCAAAGAAGGCCTCCTTGAGAGAAATGCAGTCACTTATTGGCTTATTAAACTTCGCTTGCAAGGTTGTTGCCTCTGGCCGGGCTTTCTGTCGCCGCCTTATAAATTCAACCATAGGCATTACGAAACAGCATCACAGAATTAGGGTAACAAAGAACACAAAAGCTGACCTTAAAGTATGGTAGAATTTTTTGCAATCTTACATTGGCATATCTGTTATTTCTTCCCAGCCCTGGATACACAACAACGCAATTCAACTATTTACAGACAGCTCCGGGGGACCTTATGGGGGATTTGGCATTTATTTTAGGGGCAAATGGGCTTATGGGCCCTGGCCAAACTCTTGCGCCGAACAAGGTATTACCAGGGACATGGCTTTCTTGGAACTTTTTCCGGTTGTGGTCGCTATTACATTATGGCAGAGCCACTTTGCCAATTCTATGCTTGTTTTCCACATCGACAATATGTCAGTTGTCCACATCATCAACAACTCAACTTCCAAATCGGATAGGGTTATGAATCATGTCCGCAAGCTCGTGTTAATATACCTAAAATCAAATGTCTGTATTAAGGCCTTATACATCCCCACAAAGCAAACTTTCATTGCCGACCCCTTATCTCGATTTCAGTGGGGCAGATTCAGGCGACTGGCACCGCAGGCGGACCTATGACCCATCCCCCTACCAAGCCTCATCTGGGAAATATAAAGCTTGAAGCTGATAGATTACTACAGTGTTCAAAAGCACCATCAACACACCGAGTATACTAAACAGCTCTTAACAAATTTCAAAATTTCCTTTCAAAATTTAATTTCCAAAGTATTTGGCCAGCACCAGTTCAACAACAGCTGTTGCATTTCATTGGTTTCTTCTCAGTTAATAATATGTCATACAGAACAGTATCTCTGTACTTAAATGCGATCTCCTACATACACAAAATACATGGTCTTCAAGACACAACAAAATGTTTCATAGTTACTAAAACCTTTGAAGGGTTGCGTAGATCAGTAGGTATCTATAACTAATACCGAATGCTAAAGCATAAATATTAAATAAATGAATACATAAAGAAAGAAAATAATAAATTAATAACAAGATAAATGTATAAATTAATAAATAGAGAGAAAAAAGATTAGAAAAATAAATAAAAAATAAATATAAAATGTTCTCTTTAAGAATGCAAGGTTTTTCCAGCAAAGCATGATTTGGAAATAGAATCATTACGTACGGAACTCAAAAGATCAACACAGTTTTAAAACGTTTGACAATGTGGTTCCGTTCCGTATCGCGTTGGTATTTTAAGGAAAGCAAAACTGAAGCAGTGTTAAATGTATCAATAAATTTGAGTAAGTTAACACGTCTGTCGACCATAAACACATTATACATGTAAAGTTATGCTTTTACACAATATTATTGAAACTAGTTTATAAATTGATGTAATTAATGATTTAGAAAATGGTATTTCAGTACAGTCGTTTGACCAGTTGCGAATAGGGAATAGGTGATATATATATATATATATATATATATATATATATATATATATATATATATATATATATATATATATATATATATATATATATATATATATATATATATATATATATATATATAATTAATATCAATCATTAAAATATATACAGTTCGCACGATGTCACTACAGATCAAAAACCCAGACGACAAAATAATGTATAAATAAGATCTTAACGGCATTTTATTTTACAGCTTTCTACTTTGCAATACATCCCTTCACACTTTGGAGTTATGTTAAGATATTAAAGTAGCATAATATATAAAAATAAAGTAATATTTTATATTCATTACTATTCCCCCTTACATAGTACCCCACGACACATTCCACAAAGCACCAATAACATACACAAAATCAATCTTCATAATATCATAATGAACATAATGTGGAACAATAACAGTATGGCAAACATGAATTTTGTTACATATTGCTTTACAGGCAAAATATCATGAACATCATGATGTAAATAGAACAATAAATGGATAGATTTGAAGTGGTTTACTAAGTAATACATGTATTATACGGGCACATATTGTATTCTAGAATGAAATATGGAGAAAACGAACAGTAATAAAGCTCAAAAGTCCATTAAAACAATACAAATTGGAAGCAGAGCAATCGTGGACCTCTTAAAACATCTGAGGTGGGCTTATGTGACATGGAGGATTGATCATCCCCTGTCGACTGGTAACACTCGCCGTGTGCTCATTGTCATGATCAGGCAAACGGAAAAATCCTTAGACAATTCAGTGTTTAAATAATGACCTAACAATACGTATGAAAAACATCAGTCAGCATTTCGACTTAATGATAGAGACTTCGTTGACAAGGTAAATGTCCATAGAACTTGCGTAATGATGACTGTAAACGGGACTGTTTATATTCGTGTTTCATCAACTTGTTTTTCAATAGCTTGGAGTTTAACGTACCCTTATCTGATTTACACGACCTTTGAATATACTGTTGTAAGTACCCCTGAAGTTTTTCTTTCACTGGTGTTAATATTTTAGTAAGGAGTAAAGAAAGAGGCCTGGTAAAATATTTACTGGAACCCACTACATGTATGTATCTTTGTAAGGATTTTCATGAAGTCTAGGAATCCAGTATAGGTATGGTAGTTTAAATTCATTTTTACTGCTCGGAATATTAAAAGTATTTAAAACTGACTTATGATTTTGAAGAATTCCCTCCGTAGAGATGGAGCTACATGTATGGGTATAAGTTGTATTACCACATGCAGAATTAAATCCCAGTTCTTCTAAAATACAATTTAAAAAATAAGCCTTACAAACAAGACAATGTTGTTACCTACTTTGACAGTTTGATCAGTAAACACTGATCCTGCAATCTACATGTATCTAATTCTTTTCACTTCTGAATTATTGTAGACAGAAGGATAGATGGGATAAAGAACAGACTATTTTTTACATGAAACTCCTATTTCTGTTTGCACAGTAACAACACTTGTTGGTCATAAAATTCTTATGTCAATTTCTGCTGTTTAGAACTTTCTCTCGTATATGAAACTTAGGGATTTGATCATGAGAACAACTCATTTATATTGCATGTAAATTGGATATGAAACAGATTTTGGAATTTATTTCTTCCTATCTCCAATAGCTTAAAACGGACATTTTGACTCAGAATGCATCCTGGAAAAAACTGCAGCATTAAGTATGATAAATTTTCCTCGTACAAACCATATTATAAATGTTTTAATCCAGCATTGTTGTTTGTTGTGCCTAATTATTTTTTTTTGCGATGGATTGGTTTATTTTTCAATTCTGACCAAACAGAAATATATCGAGAAGAGGTTGCCTAAAAGAACATTAAAACTGTTTCATTTCAAAGAACGTTTAAATTTAATATCTCGAAAGAAGTGCATTTTTTTTTCAAAATATTAAATAATCTGTTTTCTTTCTACCCGGCAATTTGATATAAATTTTATTTTAAAGTTGCATCATGTTGTAGATAAATACGAAAAAATTATTGTTTGCATTGAAGGTTTAGGTATGCGCTGAAATTATATATCATAAAGAAAACTCACTATTCAATCTCTTTGCTTTAAAAACATGTTGTAGCTTGTTGAATAGTATAATACATACACTATTATATCATCCCTGAAATTGATTTAAATTGAAATTGTTAATAGATATTCATGATATTGAATATATATCACTAAAAGTTCAGAATTCAGACTACTTAAAAGCAATGTTTAATCTGCTTTATAGACTAGTATTAAATTGCTTGAACGATGTCATCTAGTATACAGTAATTTCTTATACTCGAAAATTGTGACTCAAAATACTGAACCGTATTCATAGCACAGGTATGGTCACTTTCAAACCTGAAATCTTCTGCTAATGTACAACGATATCGTAAAGATTATTTTACAGTGTCATATTGAAAAATTATGATGAAGTCATTATTTTATAGAATATGCCTAAATTCAAATTTTGAAACATGCCATTTTTTAGTGCAATACGCAATATCCTCAGTGCCCTGCTTAAATAACAGTGTATTATTTATTTCCTTGTAGTTTTTGTTATTAACCTAACAAATAAAATGTAAGGACACCAATGGAAACAAGTTTGTCTAGGCTTTCATCGGTAAACATTATCTGAATGGCATGCCATTTATATAAATCTTATTCTTCAAATTCTCTGTTATAGTGCACGCGTATTTAGAAGTGGTAAGAGCAAAACATATTCATCGAAGATTTCCTCTTAGAAAAGGTGTAAAGTGCATTTTATGATATGATTTCCTGATTCATCAGAGTGAGACCAGTTCGTTGAAGGATAACAATGGAGTCTATCAAATGGTTCCTATGTTTGGAAATTTCTGTAACATTCTTATCGTCAGTATATTTAACTAATGGTACAGGCGTTTGCCCTAATGGGTAAGTATTGTTTTGAAATACATCAAACCTTAAGAAAATTGCGTTTGCATTATCTTTTATTATAAATATTGATTCCTTTTACTTTAGATGATAGGAAATATACATGTAATACATGTAATTATATATTGGTTTGATTTACTGCTCAGACTACAATATTATATGTAAATCTTTAGCATTGCATGAAGGAAAAATGATGTTGTTTCTGAATAACTTTAGTGATACCATTTTAGGGGATAAAGTTTGGGATTAAAGTTTTCCGGATTATAGAACTATTAACGATTATGTTAGATTAATATTACTTTGTTTGAATAATGTTCTTTTTTCTAAGAAAAAAATGCCAAGGGAAAAACGCATAATCTTACAGCATGTATTGTAGAAAGTGTTTCTCAACCTTTCCCCAATCCTTCAAGAAGTTATCTTTGTGTTATACATCTATAAGATGCTGCTCTCATGGCATAACTATCGTTTTATTCTCACCATTTTATGTTAAGTAAATGACGAACCTAACACAATATTAATTTTAATGTGAAAAAAAAATCAAAGCAGTAAAAAATATCAAATGGGAAGTACCGGCTTACAAACAAAAAATACACGTGCAAAGGAAGAAATAGCGAATTTCATTCAAGTTTTTAAACAAGTTAAATAAAACGTGTATGAAGAGTGGAATTTTACTGGAAGCCAGTTTGAGGAGGTTGTATCCTCTTATCAAAAGCATTGAGAAATTTTTGTCAAGTATATTTTTAGAATCTACAAACACAGCTTAATAATAAAAAAAAAGAACAAAAATTGGGGGTCCGTGCGCTTTTTTTTTTAGCACTACGGAGCAATTAATATGACCTTACTGTAATTCCTCTAATATTTTTTATCTAAATAAATTATTGGAACAAACACAGTCTTTTTTCATCTTGAATAGTCAGATTAAAATTTGTGAGAACAACAAAAGTTTCAAATTACTTCGCATAGTCAATTATTTGACCCTTCTGCACTCAAAGATGTTATTTTTCTAGCGTTAAAAATTTATCAAGCTATAAATTCATTTAAAAGTAATGATATGTTAAATACTTTCTGAATTTAAGCAGAATGGTAAAAATTATCTTTTATATTTTTATGAAATAAAATAAAAAGTGGGGATATGTGATCTTTAGATATTACTAAAAATAGTGTTAATTTTAAGCTTAAATTGGGTTATTTTTTCCCAGGACTTTTCACGATATATTTGCTATATTTGCCAAATATGAT